CCATTGTAGTATCACCGGAGGACGGTGGCCGGCGGACGATGGCCTGAGGATGGTGGCCGGAGAGAGAAGAGAGAAGGGAGGAAAGTTTTAAAATACCAAAAATATCCTTCATTAATATTTTAATTCAAAATTGCCAAAATTATAAATTTCTTAATTTATCTATTGATTTGTGGTTAATATTGGTTCTCACAGTTACCACAAACTAATTAGTTCTCATTTGATTAGGCCTCTCTCTCTCTCTCTCTCTCTCTCTATATATATATATATATATATATATAAACTAATACTATATACACTTTCTCTCTATATCTATACTATATTATAAAACATTTGATAAAAACTCTTAAAAACATTTTTTATACATGAAGTGCTGTTTATTGATGCATATTACTTAAAATTCAATATTACAAGTAAATAATGCATAAATACAACTTATTAAAGTTTCATACTTAAATTTGTGTAACTAACTACAGATAAACATAATCAAATACTGGATAAACATTTCATATAAAAAATCTGAAATATAATTAGGATAATCATTATCTTCTAACAGAATATTTATTTATTATCTTTATAAAAATTATATTATTAAACCAAAAATAAATTACTTTTTTCTTAAACCTAAATTAATTTATAATAAAAAAAGTTGAATTAAAGAAATTACACAACAAAACATGAACTTTTAAATAGGTAATTCGATACTAATATTGATATGTTTGTTCAAAATTTTTAAGATATATTTATATTTATATTTTATTCAAAAATAAAAATATTATCGTTTTGCTCAAAACCACATAAAACCGTATTATAACATCGATAGAAAAGAATAAAACGAAACATTAAAATCAAAATGTATCTCACTCCATTTTGCGAGTACCCTTTTAATATATATATATACACAACCACTATATATACGTACTAGAGGGAAGAAGACAATGGGGGGCAAGGAAGGAGAGACAGGACACCTCGAGGGTTTCTATTGGAGGTTGGGAGTTTTTTTCAAGTTTTGAAAAAGTAAATAAGGTAAAGAAGTAAATTGACCAAATTGCCCATGAGTTAACTAATTGGTGTTAACTTAGGGACTTGTATCCAGAATGCAACAAAATGCAAACTAGGGGATACTCATTGTACTTATTTTGAAAGAGAGACCAAATTTAGATTCTGAACAACCATAGGAACATATGATGTAATTTCCTCTGATCAATTAACAAAAAGTTAATTTAATTATTTTATAATTATTTATAATTTGTTTTTATAAAGAATAGAATTCAATTACATCCAAATTCTACAAACTAAACACATTGAAGATTCCAAATCCAAATCCAAATCCAAATCCAGATGTCCAGATCCCTCAAATTTCAAATTCTTTTGCAATTCAGATATCTCAAAACCATTCCATCAAACCAAACATCTCTTAATGCTTTTAAAAAGCTGAAAATGCAGGAAATGAAGGCCCCTCTTATTTATATGGATCCTCATGAGGTACCTAATAAATAATTTCTTTATGTTCCCAAGCACCAAGTCATAAACAAATCCTTGTACTTAGATAAGGTTTGTTCAAGGTATATGCCTGGATTTAAATCCTGTTGAAAAACTATGTTTTGAAATAAGCCCATCTATGATCTTTGATGATAATTCAAAAGCTGCAACAAAAGATCATGGTTTCGACCAAGAAATGAGTTATTTATACCAAACAATTAAAAATAATTCCATTTAAACATCTCATTGTTTTAGTTGAAAGACTCCATTTAATTATAATAATTACAATAAATATAATTATGATTATTATAATATAGTAGCATTTATGTAAGATTTTTTTTTAAAATTATATTAACTTACCCTTATTGATAATAGCTAAGAATATTGGCGTATTTTATTGGGCAATCTCCTAAGGGGTCTGTAACCTTTAGCCGAGCTGCGTATATAAATGTACTTAAACATAACCTTCTAAGAATCAATCAATAGTGTGACAAAGGCTTCAAAGTACATTTATCCGAAGGAAAATGCACCATTCTTTCCGAAAATGACGAAGTTGTTCTTTTTGGTATTTAAAAGGAAAATGTCTATGTGATTTTATGAATACTGCTATCTCAAAATCCGATGTCAATATCTGCTTTTATTCTAAAGCCTTTGCTGAGCAGAACTGGTTATGACACAAAAAACTATTTCACCTTAACTTCAAGACATCAACAATCTGTCTATGAAGGGTTTAGTGAGTTGTCTTTCTCAGTTGTCATTTGCAAAAGAAACTGTGTGCGGCCTGTGAGAAAGGAAAACAGATCAAAGCCTACTTCAAATCTAAGATATGCTCTTCAATTACCACTACTAGGGGTGTGCAGAAAATCAAACGATCCAATTAGAACCAATCGACCATGATTGGCTATCTAATTGTAATTGGATTGGATCGGATTGAAAATTTCAACATCTAATGTGGATTGGTCGATTCTTAGATGGCAATCATAATCGACCAAAACCGATCGAACCGAACCGGCTAACATCCAATTACCATCCAGTTATCAATCTAATTAACCATCAGATTACCATCTAGTTATCCATCCGACTACCATCTAATTAACCATCCGATTACCATCTATTTATCCATCCAACCATTATCCAACTATCATCAAATTAATTTGTTTTCAATTTGCTTACATCGGAACTTGTATTTTGTTGGTTTTTGAGTTCTTAGCCTCACTTGTGTTGGTTTTAACGCATACTAAAAGTGCTAATCAATTTATTTCATTGTCGGAAATTTCATATTGGATGAATCCAATTCGATCATCCAATATCGGCTGTCAAATGTTAATCGAATTAGTTAACAAAATCCAACAACAGATGGATGATTAGATCGGTTTAGTTGCCCTCACATTCAATGAATATCAACCAATGAACATGCCTAACCGCTTTGCATATGCTTCATATAGATATTTGTGGACCGGTCAATATCCAGAGTCTTGAGGGAAAATCCAAAAGTGATGCTATATGAAGAAATCATCAACTTTGAACAAAGAATTAAAGTTCTAAATGGTAATTGACAAAAACTGATGGTAACATTGAATTCAAAAAACAGTTCCTTTTACATTTTTAAGGTATTAATTTGATATAAAAGAGGTTTGGATTATGATGAATATCTGTTCTATTCAACTAATACCATAAAATACTAAAAGTACGTACAACGATACTAACAAGAATTAAACTAATGACTACTAACAACTAAGAGGTTGTTTTTTTACCTCTTAATAGTTCCATTGAGAGACAACATTTGAATCTTAAGAGTTGAATCTTGTTTGACAAAAAAAAATTTGTCTCTTAATGGTTATAAAACCATCTGAATGATTTTGTATCATGAGTCTTCTTTAACCATTCAGTGCCCTAATTTCATTGTAAACAATTACCAAACAATTATATTTCATTTCACACTATATCATGAAAGCCTCTTAATTATTCTGTATCAAATCATTCAGTAATTGTCAAAGAGCTCCTAAACCAAAAATCTTACAAGTTAACTACTTAAAAACTAATATATTCTTTTTTTTTTAATAAACAACATGAGGATTACTTGTAACATATCCCATTTTAATTCCCCTTCTTCCCCTCTCTCAATTCACAACAAAACCTCAAGGCATGGATACGCTTAAAATCTTCAATTCCAATGTCGTGATCCAAAGATTCTTTTACAGTGGCAATTTCGTCAATCAGCTAAAATTGACTGCCCTTTCCTTTTCATCCACTTGCCCAAAAAAGCGTTCCATCTCCGCGTCAACGGCACCAGTAGGAACCGGTGGCCGCCATTTCCACACTGCTGCCTCTAACCATCGAAACACCAGCTGCTTCTCTCACATGGCAGCTCCTACTTCCGATGGTCACAAAGAAGATGTCAAGGATGATCGCATCTCTCGAATTACATCCGCCATTCGCGTCATCCCGGACTTTCCGAAGCCAGGTACGCACGTTAGCACTTAAGAATGTGTTTGTTTTGGGAGATCTATCAAGTATGGATTTAAAGTTTGTTGTTTATACACGACAAGATCGTGATTGTCTGTTGATTGGCTCAGTTAACCTAAACATTATGAGGTTTTTGTTTGTGTAGGGATTTTGTTCCAGGATATAACAACGTTGTTGCTTGATCCGGTTGCGTTTAAGGACACGATCGATCTGTTCGTTGAGAGGTACAAAGACAAAGACATCTCGGTTGTTGCTGGTAAAATCTCTTTTTGGACCTATTATTAGGGTCCTTTGTTCATTTTTTTTGAACTTTTTCACGAGCTATTACTTTGTCGTTTTTGCATCCTTACTAGTTAGAATATGTGTGTATGAAGGGGTGGCTGTGATTTTATCGTGATCCAATTCAGCAGCATTTCATATAGTAAAGACAGGATTTGTGAATATTTATTGCAAAAACTAATGTTTGTTCATAGGTTATTTCATTTTTTCTCATAAGCTTGGGATCGATGAATTAGCATGATTCTCATATCTAAGAGATCTGTTGGAAACATATAACATACACGTAAAAAGGTACTCCATGTGTAAAAAGGGAGATACAATTTTGCTTTAGTTCTCAAGCATACATACTTTTAGTTCTGAAATTTATATGAATTTAGTATATCTGTAAAAATGTGATAATATTAAACTTCATATCACAAAAGCTGCACAAGGAAAAAAATGGTGTTAGATGTTACAAAAATGTATCAGGTTTACCAGGGAACAGCGGGAGTATCTTTTAGTTTTTTCATCACCTTCTTAATTTGTGTTCCATTTGGACATTTTCTTCACAGGTTAAGCTTGACCATGACAATCCTAACCAAGAATAGGTCACATGATGTGCATTATTCTTGTTGTTGAGCTGATTTAATGATAGTGCTTAAATGAAATTATTCTACAATAGAATAGGGAATTGTATAGGATCAAAGTTTTCTGTGCATTTACTAGAGTATTCTGTATCCAAGGGTCTTGATGGGTTAAAAAACGTCACAGCATCTGGTAAATGGAAGGACCTAGAAGTTAATAAATGAGCCGAACGAGCTTGTTAATTGGGAAGGTTATGTATGTCCATGTTTCATTTGCATTCACATCACCTAATTGGGGATGACTCAGGTGTCACAAAGTTTCATTCATAGGGATTTGTCTTAAATGCACAAGTTTTTGCATATTTCGTTATCCTGAATGATAGCTGTAAATTTTATTGTTCCAATGTAGTGTTACATTACAGCTTAGTAAAAGCTGTAAGAGAAATATTGCATTATTGTGTAGTAAAAGCTGTAATAGTATGCATCTTTCGCAACTCAGATAATGTCTGGACTTTGCCTTTAATCTGGAACTCTGAAAGCTTGATATTTCTTCTTTGGAGTCGTAACGAGTTCAACTAATTTCCTTCACTATTGTGAAACAAATTTTGAAGCAATTAAGGCACTCTCTAGCGCTACTCGGCGCTTGGAGAGCAGGTCCCCATCATGTACTAGCATGTATTCCTTTTGCTAAGAAGCAATCATATGAATAGGTTGTTTTCTTCTGCAATATGCAACGATCACTTGCACAGATTGAAGAGGTCCCCAGTCATTCTCCATGTAAGTGAGACATAGGAGACGTGTAGCTTTTCACTTGGAAATTTTTAGTGCCATCTTCTACTATAAGCTTTCTAGACCAAGAATTCATCTTTGCTTACGGATCTATTTACATGGGTGGAATAGAGATTTCTCTTGAGGGCATAAGGCTAAAGGCCTAGGTGGTCTGTTTTATAAACATCATTTTATCATAGTTTATTTAAGGTTTGGTTCTTTTTACTATTGTAAGAAGAGGGTGGCTCTTAAGTTTAATGGTTGTAATCAAGAGTGCCTATAGATGGCTGTTGCAATTCTTGTAAGATAAAAAAATTAGATGCATGATTCATTTCAGCATCTGTATACTATTTCTGATTTGCTCTTCTAGCATCAGTGTTACCCATCCTGAATTAGCTGCTTCCCTGTGTATGTATTTGCAAAAAAATTTACATTTCAGTACCCTACCAGAAATTTCTGGAGTTGATGGGAGGACCTGCTCTTTTTTGTTTTGGAAAATCCAGTACCATATACAGTTGCCTAAATTAGTATGTTCAGTGGTTATTTTATTTTATTTTTCATGCTCCACAGGAAACCATGATAAATCAATAGTATGGGCTTATTTTGGTTTTTTAATGCAGGAGTTGAAGCAAGAGGTTTCATATTTGGTCCTCCTATTGCGTTGGCAATTGGTGCCAAATTTGTCCCCATGAGAAAACCAAACAAGTTGCCTGGTACATCTTTCTCTCATACTTTGCAACTTTACCCATGAACTTCTAGTGTTTGTTTCTTTGTAATTTTGTCGGCTATGTGTATGTATGTGTATATGTATCCTTTGTTTCTGTGGCACACCAGCAAGGCCATAAGTTTTTACATGAAAGACCATAAGTGGTGTCGTTAGCTGTATCTATTAAAGGCCGGTAGGATGTATGCTTCAACATTTGGATCTTTCAGATGCAAAAATTATACATTATATCAAGATCCTATGGCTTCATGTAATGTAAGCAGTTCTTATGTTCCAGTCGCGTTGATGTAAGTACAAAGATGGAGGCTGTTTTTGTTAATTGGTTTTATTACTTCTAACCACTGAAATGATACATCTTTTGTGATTGCTACAATTATATCATGAAAGTGAGACTCCCAGGTGCACATGTTGTTTGAGCATAATATAAAGTGAAACATACTCCATGTAGGAAGTTGTGACATCTATTGTTAAGGATATTGCAAGCGTAGCCAAGAAAAATAAATACTTATCAGCGCAAGCACATAAATTACAGGATATGAATCCAGTGGAAACATTTGTCTTTTTTGTGCAACTAGGTGGTGTCGTAAAGAGCTTCGATGTTGTCATCCATAATATTGGAGTTGGTTTTGTTGTGAATCTTGATAAAGTTGCCTGACATATGGTTTGGATTCAAATGTTGAGAATGGAGAGTTGTGCTTGTGGGTTTCTATTGAACTGAAATAGTAGTCCCAAGGAAAGTGAATTTTGATTTGTTTGAAGCTCAAGAATCTGACCAACTAAAAACAAGCAGCATAAGATCTATGAATGAGTTATTTGAAACTGCAACCATAATATTCAGTTCAGTTTACAATTGGTGCCAACTTGTAGTGTATGTGCAGCATGGGCCCTCACCATTTCTACTAGCAGGATGCATGTTTTATGTAATTTTTGGATCTGTCCATGACATGGTTCAAGATTTTATTGCTTTTGAAAGGGTTTCTCAACTCCAAGTGAGCAAAATTCATGACAAAGTAGAACATCTACTTCTGCTTTAATTTCATATTTAGAATATCACTTGTCATCATTCATGTCCACATCTATATTAGTAGAGTTTGGTAGAGTCTCATTTTTCTGTAACATGCACATATAGACATAGAAAATCAGGTATTCTAAGGTTATATCAAATTGATCGTCTATTGTTCTTTCAGGAGCTGTTATATCTCAAGAGTATTCCTTGGAGTATGGCACAGACAAAATTGAGATGCATGTTGGAGCGGTACAAGAAGGAGAGCGTGCTCTTGTAATAGATGATTTAATTGCAACCGGAGGAACCTTGTGTGCTGCAATCAGTCTACTTGGTAATATTTTTATGTTACCTATCTTAAGTCTATTTCAATACCCTAGAAAGAAATATTATGTTGGATCTTCGTGTTTTACAATTTTAGCAGATCTACTGGACCTCACTTTTGTGGTTAGAAGGTTGGGAGTTTGATTCTCTCTGCATCCATAACCAAAAACTGAAAAAAGAATAGGCACTTCATGAAATCTACACCTTGATCACCATCCATATAGGCAACATTTTACCTCATAGTTTATAGTGGACTAAGAAGATCAGGGTCCTATGAAGGAAGTAGAATTGGGCCTTAGTTCAGGCTGCATATATATTGGCAAAAATTACCTTTTCACGTTTGCAAGCTCTTATCACTTGAATCTACTTACCATTTCAGAGCGAGTTGGAGTCAAAGTAGTCGAGTGCGCTTGTGTTATCGAATTGCCCGATCTGAAGGTACAGCTTTCTATGTCAGTACATTGAATGTGAACTGTATAGTGTATATTACCAACCAATCAATATATCTGCTGTGGGCTTGAGTGAACAGTTGCCATCCACCCATCTCCAGTAATCCCTGCTACTCATGTTCATCTTGGAACAAAAACTTCGTTTTATAGCAATTGCCGTGCACCACAACACCAAAACTTGGCCAATATTCTATTTCTTCTTGTATAGTGATTGAAAGTATGCTTATTAGATCAGACGCATAAATTGATACATTGTGGTCCATGAGCTGCACTGCAATGGAATAACAAGATATTTTGCCAGATAAACTGTGGATTAGATTCTTACATAGTCCAGGCTGCCTTTTTTCTTTTGTTTCAAATGACAACTGATACCTAAAGTACTCAACACCCCAATAAAAGGAAGGAGGTTTTTGAATGCGAAATAAAAAAACACATCTTTCCTTAGCACCGGGAGTATGTGATTTTGATTTGCATGGATAATGTACTTCAGGCTTTTTGTTGTCTTTTTCTCAAAAACCACACAGGAATGTGTGAACTGCCAAATTATGCACCTTGTAGTGTGGGATTCAACTCACACTTCAAACATCTTTTGGGTTTAATGATTCTACGTCTTTTCTTTTCATGTTTAACGTACCCTGATGGTTTGGTAAAAAGACTTGCATTATATTCAACGACATTCATCATGAATTACCATCTCATACTTGTGCCGAGGGTGTTTAACTTGCTATTAATTCATATCCTCTTCCTGATTTTAGGGTCGGGACAGATTAGGGGACAAGCCACTGTTTGTGCTCGTAAGTTGAAATTGATCTTCATTATTTCCTAAAAGCTTTGATTGCTATTGCTGGTTCTAGAGTGGTTTCATGTAACCGGTACTCATGTCTTTACTTTTGTGATTTTAAGACTCGTTTTGGAAATTAAAATAATTTGATCAATGAGAGCATTATTTGAGTTTATGAAACTTGAATCAAATGTCTAGGTTTATGATTTTGAAGCAATTAAATTATACTACTATGAACTCTCTATGCTTTTTCTGACACACTTTATTCAATCATTTTACTGGAATTGACATACTTAGTAGCTACTTCCCCCTCACCAAGAAATTTGTTTTAAACCCACCGATGGCATTTGGTTGCAGACTGGATTGGACGAGACGGTACTGTACAGGACAAGACTAGTTGTCTGTTATCTGTTTGATACGACTAGAATTGGACAAAACTGTTAAAATGACTAAATTGCCTTTAAAATGTTATTTGATATTTTTTTATCATTATTAAACAATACAAATCGATTATAATTTTATTTATAATTACATAAATAATACTTTGTAATTTATTTATGTACAATCATTTAAAAATATATGCAAACCAATTAAGAATAAAATAAACCGTAATTTTATATTTGATTTTTTAGATCTTAAAAAAGGCAATAAATTGGAAGCCTCCATATCAACTTGCAACTTCTTCCCCATGTCTTACTTCCAAAAGGAACTCCTCTCCAACCCATTGCGTCACCGGTCACCACCACCACCGGTCTTCCTTTCTCTTTCTTACTTAGACTTCATCGGTGAAAAAATCATCTTCCTACCCATCTTTCCGGTTCTTTCTTTCTTAGACTAAACCATCTTCCTGTTCTTCTTCCACCACCACCCATTGATCTTCCTTCAAACGTAGATCTAGAAGGAGGGGTTTGATTTGAGAGGGGAAATTTTATAGAATGATCGATTTGGAGGATGGGAGGACTTGATTGATGTGGAGGCGTTCGATCTGAGAATTTGTTTTGGAGGAGTTTGTTTGATTTGGTAGAGTTCAATGTTTGGATCTGATTCAGTTTTTAGGTGTCAGGTTTCAGATTTTGTATTATGTTAAGGGTAAATAAGTCATTTTAAGATAAGTCCAAAGGTTGTTCCATCTTTTTCTGTCTTGTTTCACCATGTCAAGCCACACATGGAACCAATCTTCTTTGTCCCGTTCTGTCCCACCAAAATGCACCCAAAAAGATTTCCCCAAATTAAATTAAATAAGCAATTGGTTGAATGAAACTTTTTGTGTAGAGATACTATAAAGAATTAACAATAAAGAAAGGCCAAAACAAAAGTGAACTTGGAATGAGAATATAATTTAGGTAAGGAGATGTTACGGGACTTAGTAGGGTCTAACTTTCCGGTCCAATTGAAATAGTAGAAAAGGTGGGAGCCATTTGACGTGTGATAACTTCTAACTGAATAATATCTTTTTCATTTATCAATAAGTCCCTAAACTGTAGAGATTGAACAACAAACTTCTTAGGATTGCATATGGTGTCCACTAACAAAATTGATGGATACAAAAAGGTATGCCAGCATTCGAGAGGTTGAGCTTTCCCAAGGCTCAAGCCAATTTAATCACAGGACATAATGCTTTCCCCCTTCTACTCACATCTATTTAACAAACTCTTAAAGCTACTTTTCCCTTTTTACCCCTTGTAACAGAATGCGCCCACTTCCAAAATTACCCTTATTAAAACTACTCCTTGTTCTACGTCTTTCCTCCTAGCCAACATAACTAAAAGCAACTTTACAACTTCTTGTGGAACTCATTCCATTCCACCCAAGTTGCCTCAGTATGTACTGTATTTGAACATGGTGCTTCATTATTTTCTTAAAACCATTCTTCTATGCAAGACAACGATAGGTTTGATCAATAGCTGATCATCTGAACTTAATCTAGTAAATTTGGAGAAGAAGGCTAATAGGACTGATCTTCTTGGTGATAAAATCATGACATACATACAAAATGAATTTTAGCATAATCAGGTCGATTGTGAGAAATTGATCTCACAATCTGGATATTGAATATGGCTAAAAATACTATCACAGAAGTGATAAAGAGCAACAAGGATAAAAATAGGAAAAATAAATAATCTTACTGAAGACACTTGCAGAATCTGAACAAAAAATCTTCAATAAAATAAAGTTTCGTAAAAAGGACTAAACTCAAAGTAAATTGCATAATATTCAAAATGCTAAAAACAAACTTCATAACCTATTATTTATACTAAATACCTAAGGAAAATAAAAAGGAAACTACGAAAGAAATCCTAGTTTGGGTAGGATAAGGAAGCTAAGAGATAAGGGTAATTAAAATTATTGGATAAGAGATAATGGTGAGTAAAAGCTTCTAGCATATCTTTTTTATTCTATTATATCTCTTCTTCCTTTTCTTTCCTCCTATTCCTATAGTATTTATGAAGATTCCTGTTGCTATGACTACTCCCTCTCTGAAAACTCGCCTTGTCCTCATGGTCGAATGTTGGAAAATTCCCTTGTAGCAGGTCGTAAATTTCCCAGAGGTTGCCTCTTCGGTTAGGCGTTGCTGCGATTTCACTAATAATTCCAACTCAGGAGTAGTAGGCTGGGAGACCCATTGGTGAGCTAAAAAAATTTCGAGGGCCGAAATTTGTTCTCAATCGACTGAGACATGTAGTGCAGGGGGAGTAGATGGGGATTTACCATGAGCCAATCGCAACAAGGATACATGAAAAATTTGGGTGTACTTTGGAGTCTTCTGGTAAGTTTAGTTCATATGCAATTGGTCCTACTCGACGAATAACAATGTACGGGCCAAAAAAAGCGGAGAAAGATTCATACCTTCGTTTGGCCAAAGATCTTTGTCGAAATGGCGGAATTCTAAGGAAGACAGTGTCGCCTACCTCGAAGGATAACTCACGTTGCTTGGAGTCTTCTTGAACCTTCATGTGAGACTGAGCTTTGAGAATGTTTTCTCGAAGGAGTTTTAACATGTCATCCCTGGCTATCGGTTGCTCTTCTAATGCAACATTTTGAGTCTCACTCATAACATATGGGTGAAGAGTCGGTGGATCACGACCATACAAGATTTTGAAGGGAGTCATGCGTGTAGATGTGTAAAACCATTTGAAACAAGCCATAGCTCCCTTACCATAGCTCCCTTCAAACCAAATCCCACCTGTTAAATGGTGTCACCAGTTGAACTTGATGAAAGGCGATCTAAAGGACTTTGTTTTTCTATGAGGAAGAGTATAAATACGGGCATAGATGTAAAGGGAAGCGACCTCAGTTGTACCATCTAGAATGGGATGATCTGGATGAAGAGCATGATGAGGAATGTGTAGAGGAAACAATCGAATTCTCGCAAATTTCAGTCAACGCAATGACTGGTATTACAGACTACCAAATTATGAGGGTGATGGGCCATTACGTGAAGAAAGCTCTATAAATGTTGCTAGACATGGGGAGTACTCACAACTTCGTCGACACATCACTAGCTAAAAAAATTGGGGTATAAGCTAGTGCTCAAACCATCTATGATGGTTAGAGTTGCGGATGAGGGAAAGGTCAATTATGACACGATGATCGAAGGATTTCAGTGGAAGATGCAGTCAATTACATTTACTGCAAACCAGTACTTGATACCACTTGGAGGATGTGATATGGTATTGGGTATTCAGTGGTTCACATGTCTTGCTAAGGTTCAATTTGATTTTTTGAACCATACGATTGAGTTTTTAATCAAGGGATCCAAGGTGATGCTACGATGGGCTAAAAGTAAAGGAATTAAAATAATAACTTGAAGATAGGTAAGATGCTACAACAAAGTAGGTGACTATCTATGATGCAGCTTATGGCCATCCACCCTGATCATCCTCTACCCGACTTTCAAATAATCATGAACCAACAAACCAATTCACCACCCCCAAGTTACGACAACCTTTGAAATCCTACAATGATATCTTACAAGGATCAATGGATTTACTCCGTTTAGGCTCGGTTTTGACCACATAATACCACTTAAGGAAGGTTACAACCCTGTGAATTTATGGCCTTACCGTTATCCTTTGTTGCAAAAGGACATTATTAAACAACTCACTCGAGAGTTACTTGACCAAGTGGTAATTAGGACCTGTAATAGTTCCGTCACATCCCCTGTGGTGTTGGTCAAGAAAAAAGATGGAAGCTCGACAATGTGTGTGGACTGTCGAGCTTTGAACAAAATGACGTTTCTAACTAGTTTCCTATTCATTTAATTGAAGAACTTATGGATGAGTTACATGAAATTGGTAATTTTCCAAGATTGACTTGAGGGTTGGGTATCATCAGATTAGAGTTGCCAATCAAGACTTTCAAAGAACTGCCTTCAAAACCCATTGTGGGCATTTTGAATTCTTAGTCATGCCATTCGGATTAACTAACGTCCCTTTACATTTCAAGGCTTAATGAACCAGTTGTTTCAAACCATATCTAAGTAAGTTTGTCCTCGTATTTTTTGATGACATTCTAGGGAAAGGGTTTAGTGCCGACTACCATTAAGTAACTGAGTGGGTTCCTTGGCTTCATAGGTTATTACTGCAAAGTTATTATGGAATATGGTGCCATTGCAAAGCCATTGACTTGATTATTGCAAAAGGATTCGTATAAGTGGATGAAGCAGCAAATGCGACCTTCTTTGCTCTAAAACAAGCAATGACAAACCCACCCGTATTGGCTTTACTGGATTTCAACGAACCTTTCGTGGTACATACAGATGCTTCTAACCAAGGAATTGGGATTGTCCTCATGCAAAAAGCAAACCCGATTTCCTTCATTATCAAAGAACTATCTCCTAAACATGTGACTCTATCCACATATGAAAAAGAATTATTAGGAGTGATTCATGCAGTGCAAAAATGGAGTTCGTATTTGTTGGACATATATTTTGTGATGAAGACTGATCAACAAAGTTTGAAACACCCGTTAGAAAACAAAATCAGCCTCTCATTTCAAAAGCTAGATTATGACTATGATATATGTTGTAAAAAGTTGCTGAAAATAAGGTGGCAGATGCTACATCATTGGCCATTTCCAGCATCCATTCTGATCTTTATGATCTTATCAAAGTAAGTTAGGAATGAAATATTAATATGAAGGTCCTCATTACACAAATCCAACAAAATAGCAGCAAACACCCCAAATTTAGTTGGCATAATCAAGAGTTAAGAAG